GCTCCACATACCAGAGGAGTATTTAAATTATATTGCACTGAATTTCTTGCAGTGTAATTCTTTGAATATGACTTTGCATTTGCTGTGCATTTAAAGACTGTTTCTGATAGGTCAATTAGTGCTTTTTCAGAAACTGTTAACTTTGCAACATGTCAAGTAAGGAAAGCATTTTTTAACCTATCAAGGGAATAGAATATGAAGCATTCAATTTTGAAAGTTCCCAAGGTAGAGGTCCATAGCTGCTAATTCACAGTATTTCTGGTGCTGATTCTATAGATAAGAAGTCAATCTTCCAAACTCAAAACTGTGGGGAGAAGCAGAGTAGATTTCCATTGACTGAATATTTTAAGATGCCCTTTTCTTTTTCTTTATTTCTTTCTCTTTTCCAAACAAGGCTCTCATTTGTGACTTTTCTGCTACCATAATCTGGAGAAAAGAGTCTGCAGGTACTTCATGAATTCCCCCTCCCAGGGTTTGCCCCATGGCAGGTGTACAGCAGACACAAGGAATGATTTGATTTTAATCAAGCCCTTGCTTCTCAGGTAAAACATAATAAGATTCTAGGAAAGAGAACAATACACAGTAAAATGAAAATGTGCTTAACATTTAAGAATACAAGAGAAGTGATACATAGCACATTGGCACATTGTAATATTCTCCTAATGAAATCTTACTTGATTCTAAGATGAAATATATACAATATACTACAGGAGAACAAGAGTTGATATGTAATCCAGAAAGATTTAGATTCAAAACAACATATAAATTCTTTTATTCTATTAATATGCCAAAACAAAGTAGGGGTTTTTTTTTTCCTCATATAAATATTCAAAACAACATATAAATTCTTTTATTCTATTAATATGCCAAAACAAAGTAGGGGTTTTTTTTTCTACTCATATAAATTACCAAACTTTGTACATTTTAAACTAGTGAAACAAAAAAGCTCTATGTAATGTTGGGCAATGGTGAGGAATTCTTCCCATATTACGTTCCTACTGAATATGGGAACATTTTTCCATGAAGAATTGTTACTTAAGAATCCCGAAACATACAGAAGTCCACTCATTCTTCCACAAATTAAAGTATGCCCTGAATCTCTTATTCTAGGCAACCAGGAAATACATTTTTATTTGCAAAATTAAAGTAGAGCTGCAATAAATAATTACTTGCAGAAATATACAAATAAATTTTACTTCTAATTACTCTAAAACTAATGCAGGGAAATATTACAGCTGTCTTTTTTCATCACTTCCTGGCTATGCAAATGTCAAAGGATCGTTTGGCAACAGTTGGATGACAGAATTTTATATCAACCAACAGTGTGACTGCCAGTCCCTGGAAGATAATTCTAGTGATGGGTGGAGACTGCAGCTCCTTATGGACAAGATCATTATCTGTATTTGACCTTGCTCTTTCATGGTTTCATTTGGTTTTGGTTTTTTTGTTTTGGGGTTTTTGTTTTTGTTTTTGTTTTTTTTGTTGTTTGGTTGTTTTCGTCTTTCTAAAAAATCACTTGTTAATTTCCCATCAGAGGGAATCAAGAAGAAACATTTTCAAGAATTGAACAAGCATCTGGCCATAACATAAAACAACTGTGTCAGTGAATCAGCACCTTTCTAAAATTGAGTTTGACCAATGAAGCAAACAGTCTAAAAAAACTTTTGTGTTCCACATCTGTCACTAACAGATATTTCCAATTGCTCTAAACTTCCTATCTGCTAAATAGTTCCCATATCGCTAATAAGTTCAGTCTGACTTTGCCAAAATAACACTCTTCTGTTGAATCAGACATCAAGTACACATTACCCAGCAGAACTAACTGCCTGGATTTGAACCTCACTGTACCAAATATAAACCGTGTGTCCCCAGGCAAGTAACTCAATCTAATTTCAGCAGTGATACAAAGGAGATAACAATAGATGCTGCCTCACAAGTTTGCTCTAAAAATTGAAAAAGACAGTGACCATAAAGATGCTTGGCACAGTGCCCAGCATAAAGGAAGTGCTCAGTAAGCACTGGTATTCATACTTTTAGTTGTTTTTCAACGTTATTTCTATCGTTTTTATTATTACTATTGCAAAACTATGAGATCAGATTTCCCAAAATGCGTGCCTACTGGTAGAGTCACATGAAAAAAATTTTAACTATTATCCACATATTAAAAGGCAATCTTACTTAAAAAGCTTATTTATGAAACCAGTCCATGTGTGCCGGGCTACAATAAGAACCAAACAGATAGGACATAAGCTTTGAACTCACAGAATCAGTCACACGCACTCTCGGGTCTCAGTTTAGTCACTGAGATTCCTCCCTATTCTACATCATGATTATTTTACATCTGCTTTTAAAACATATCCCAACCCCTTCTTAAACCCAGACTCTTCTTCTCTGCATAGTAATTCTCAGCTTCTCCAGTGATCAAATTCTCAACATTAATGATGAAAAGGACTTTGAGAAATTCATCTCCACTCCAAAGAACAAAGTTATAGCTAACAGGGATTCTATAATTTAGTCATGTCCTTATTTGAATTAAGATATGGAGATCGCAATAATGCAAACCCAGCAAAGCTGTAGGCTAAATAACTCTTCCATAAAAAAAAAAAAAAAAAATGGGAACTCTGAAATGAAGTCTTGTTCATAAAAGCAAAATTCCTTCAGGACAAATAAACTGATTGGTTTTTAATGGAGTGCAAAGTTTAATCCAGTTACAAACCAAATCACACCTAAATCAAATCAGGATCCTCCAGCTGACTACAAAGGGACTCTAAGAAGATGTCACACTATGGCTTTCCTAAACATCTTACTCCTGCGTGCTATAGTTATCATTCAGTACAATGTAGACATAATTTCCTCGTTATCCAAGTAGAATCTGCATTTCGTCATTGTAACTTAGAAAAACCCATATTGTCTCCCCAAGAGCAGAGAATAATCCAAGGCTTTTTGAAAAATGTGAGAGACAACATACTGGGCTGGGATTTAAGTACAGTGGCACAGCACTTATCTCCTAAGCTCAAAGTCCTGAGTTCAATCCCCAGTAGGGAAAAAAGGAAGGATGGGGAGGGGGACGGGAGGGGGAGACTTGCTGGTTGGTTATTTGTTTTTATTTTCTTGGATTAGGTGTTTGGTTTGGTGGGAGAAGTAAAGTGAAGAATCACAGTTGATGATTTGAGATATTAACCAAGGACTATCTGGTTGCAAGGAACAAAAGAGTCACTGAAATTAGTTTAAGTAAAATACAAGGAACACAGGGACAGAGGCCCTGATGAAAAAGCTGGTGGAAGCTGATATTTTATGCTCCAGCTCTGAGGATTCACTTTAGCCCTTACTTCGCCCTATGAAGTCACTTCTTTCTTCTCTCTTTGAAGATTATTGCTCTGACTCTCTACTCTTAGGACAGAAAATTCCCTACTTTGTGTTATGTCCCAGTTCAAATACATTTCAGAAAATATCTCTGAATTTGTATGCAGATATCCTGACTATCTGGTCCACTGGAAACATCTCTGCTTTGCTCCAGCAGGAGAAATGATCTCTCCATACCTCCAGGTACAGCCCTGAGTCCCTGCAGCCCCAGTCCTCAGGCCTGCCCCACCCCCACATTGTGTTCCCCAAGGAGCTCTTATCCCACACTTCCTGGCCCTTTCCTTTCCATTTCTGGGTTTTCTTCAGCTGCTGGCACTTCCTTCTCTCTGCTTCAACTGTCAAAGCCTTTGGAAAAGCTGTTGGCCAAAAGAGTTTGGAGCAAGAGTTGTTTTGGCATTTAGGGCTGTGGCAGCACAGAGAGATCTCCTGAGGGTCCCTGGTGGAGGAAGATCTAAGCACAGTAGCCTGAGGGCAGACTCAGGAATAGCTTACTTTCCATTTTATTTGAGATGCCACCCCCAGATAGGGGATTTGGAACGTTTCCTCTTTTCTCCAAACCTCTATGTAAAAGTAAAAGAATCTGAAAAGACAATTCTTAAAGTCTGGTCAAGTCATTTGACCAGGACAGAATGCCAACTTTGCCATCCTCATTTATTACAACCTAAGGCCTATATAATTGCTCGATACTTAAACTACATTTAAGCTCATGTTACAAATAACCTTATTTGCTACTTGTGAATATACTTGTTTTTAATGCTTTAAAAATCACAATCGAAAAGGTTTGGTTCTTTGAGCTTTTCATTGTCACCAGTGCTTTCAGGGGAGTTATTTGTTCACTCATTCTTTCATCTATTGCTTAGCAATCACCTCTGCCAGGCAGAAAGGAAAGGAAAGTGCAAGACATGGCAGGCTCTCAAAGCCAGCTGAGCCCAGCCAGGGAGAGAAAACTGCTTACCACGAAACCACAGCAGAGAACACTAGGTGCCTACACTAGTGCCAACCACTATAGCAAGCTGAAAGCACCTTCAAAGTTCAGAGCAAGGGAAAAAATACAAGGGATGATGTTACCCACATTCCTGAGTGTGGCTGTGAAGGCCCGGAGTCCTCACCAGAGGAGCTTTGTGAGCTGTGCTATGGAGAATCAGTGTCACGAAGACGTATAGTCAGTGTGCGGAAAGGGAATTTGGGAACAAGGGACTTGATGGTTGATTGGCACCCATGCTCCATCTGGCCACAATTCTTATTTTCTTGTTAGAAGTGGGGAGAAGATGCAGCTGAGAGGGAAAGGACATCAGACATCTGTGATTCATTCATTAGACCTAACTGCAGCTGCAACGACAACTTACCAAAGTCACAGGCCAGCTGGCAGGCGTCATGGGGTCTTCTCTGTTGTATTAGTGTCCATCACCATCGCCACCACCACACAACCATAGAACAGAAATCTGTCTTCCATGACTGAATGCTTGCTTCCTACCCCTCGTACTGTGGCCTGGCTCTGCTCTATTTGGACAGTTTATAAACAGTTAATGAGCTGGGCGTGGTGGTGCACACCTGTAATCCCAGCACTCAAGCGGCTGAGGCAGGAGGATCACTGGGAGTTCAAGGCCAGCCTGAACTACATAACGAAACCATGTCTCAACTGCCACCCCCCAAAAAAGACAGGTAATGTGGGGGCCAGGATGCATCGAGAAGAGTGGAGTAAAAGCAACATAGGATGCTCACAGGCACAAAAGTATGCTGGGACTGTAACCAAATGCAAGAAGAACGAGCTGCAGGTTCTGATTTTCCTTCTGAATGTATGAAGCCTGTGCTTTCTCTCCATTCCCACGGTGCTATCTCAATTTCTTCTAAGCAGAACCCCTAGCCCATTCCCCAAGAATGTGCCTCCTGTTCTTCAACCCTATTTGCAGAACTTCATTTGACTCCTTCTAACTGATTCAGTCACATCCCTTCCCCCTCAGAGACCTGTTTATGTCTACATCAAATGCATTGACCTAAAATTCCCAGCATCCCTCTCCATGCTCATCAAACAGCTCTCACACCCCACATGGCCTGCTCACTCCAGTATTTCTGCTTCGCTCCTCTGCTTGAGTGTATACGCCGTCCGAAACACCAGACCGACTCTTCCAGTACTGTGAGATCCGTCAAGTTTCACTATATTCATGAAGACTGGTTGTGACCACGCTACATCCTCCTCCCCAGTGAATAAATTTTCGCCAAATGCCTGCAATGGTGAGTGCTGTAGTTTGGAACTTAAATATCCCTTAAAGGTCTTCCTTCTAAAAGCTTGGTGCCCAGAAATTTGGTATAGGGAGGTAGTGAAACATCTAAACTGTGAGTTCTGGTGAAAGGTTGTCAGTCATTAGAGACATTTGCTTCAAAGAGACACCTTCCTGGTCTCCTCTTCTCACTCACCGGTTCTTCTCAGTCACAAGCAGATCAATGTTGTTTGGCCTCAAACTCCCACCATAATGCGTGGCCACAGGCCTAGGGCAGCAGGGCCAACCAGTCATAGACTGAATCCTCCAAAGCTGTGAGCCAAATAAGCCCTTTCTTGTGATAATTTGATTATCCTGGGAATTTCTAATGGAAAGCTGATTAACACACTAGATCAAACAATATTGCAAGTAATGGTGCATTTTAGTGCCTCTTGATTGCATCTTCCCAGTGAGATTACCAGCACCTGGCACCTGTCATGCAGGCTCCATAGGTTTTTAATAAATAAGAGTGAATCATTGTACTGACTGTATCATGTATATTATTTATTTCTCCTATAATAAGTCACCTAATTCAGATTCAAGGGCTTATCCAAAAGCATTTACAATATTAAATACACAGTGGCCGATTCTAGTGCCTAAAGGACTTGTCATGTCAATAATGAGGCACACAGCAGAACACTCCAAGTATAAGTGGTAAGTTGAAAAGTATGAATAAGTAAAAGATAAGGAAGTTGTCCTATGCAGCCAAGGCTCATGTAGGTAAATGTATTTTAGGGCAGAGAGATGGCAGGCAGAGTGCCAGAAGTATAATTGGATTAATAATGAGAAAGAGCATGAAGAAAATTGTCCACATTCCAGCGTGGACAAGAGAAGTGAAGGGGCAGCTGCCCATAATGGGGGAACCAGGCACAAAACATATGTGCAACCTGGTTCCTGTTTGGGTCTGTCCCCCAGCCATGTGCCCTCCTCTGTCAGAGCTGGAACAGGGAGGTGAGGCAAGGGCTCGCTTGCTAATCTGTTGACTATGGATCCAACTATCTGCTTATATAGGATCTATTTGTTGAGTCCAGGTGTTGTGTGTGGGTTCTGTTGGTGATTCATTTGTTCATTTACGTATTAGTAGATAAGTCACTGTTGTTAGATTCCCTGCCAGTTAAAGGATACAAGATGTTGGGCCAGCATTTCAGGTGAAAATAAGACTGATGAAAAGAGGGGAGACCTGATACTACAAGCAAAGTATGCAAGGTCCCTGGGAATGAGGCAAGAATCTCTTGTATCCAGAGAAAGCAGAGCCAATGCTCGACACGCCTAGTGTTGAAATTGTTCCGAACTAAGAGTTGCATAAATTTGCTTTGAGAATATTAAGCTTTATATAAATTTAGGGTAGACATTTTCATTTTACATTTTAATGTGTCTGGTAGCAGGATGGTAATAAGATTAAAAAGCATTTATGGTGGACCAGAAACTTTCTCAGTGCTCTACCCCTTGTTAACTCATTTAATCTTCATGACAACCCTACAAGCTAGACACTGTGATCAGCTCCATTTTCTAGCAAACCGAGTCAAAGAGAAGTCCAGGCACTTGCCCAAGGCCAGAACACTTGGCAGTGATAGAACTGGAGCTCAAACCAGAGCTGGGCTCCAGAAACCCTGCACCCACAGCTGACTTGAGTTAATGTGTGCACAAATACACCGAATGTGCTCACCCGTCTAAATAGTAAATCAAAAGTACATTTTATAATAAAGGGAACCTTAAAATCCAGGAATTCTGTATGTTACCTACGGACCTGGTACAGTGTATTGAATTGGGGGTGAGAATTCAATATGATTTACCAAATATTTATTTAGCTGTGAAGGATTAAGAGATGAGTAAATTGGAGTCACCTCCTTCTAGAGGTCAATAGGTAGTGAGGAAAACAGGCAAGTAAACAGCTCATTACAAAAGCCTGTGGTAAGTGCTACAGTAGAGTTCTGTTGTGTCAACAAAGCTTGTGGGCTTTTCAAGACAAAGGGATTAATTCTGCCTGCCAGGTTTAAAGAGATCAGCCTAGACAGCAGACAGATTCACTCAGGCCCCTGGTGTGTGGATGGTTATACTGGGAGAAGTGAGTTCTGCCTTCAAGGGTCTTCTACACAAAATTGGCAAAACATGTTCAATTTTCTTTTTCACTTCCTGCCCCCATTCCCAGTAGCATGAACTCTAAAAGTTTTCCAAGAGAACTAAAAGAATCATATCACAGAGAAGTATGTGCACCCATGTTTATAGCGGCACAGTTTGTAATAGCTAAATCTTGGAAACAGCCCATTTGCCCATCTGTTGGAAACTGGATAAAGAAGATGTGGTTTTTCTATAAAATGGAATATTACTCAGCCATAAACAATGAGAAAATAGATTCATTCATAGGAAAATGGATACATATTGAAGATATAGTCCTAAATGAAATAAATAAGTCACACATGTGTAAATACCGAATGGTTTCCCTGGTGTGAATAATCTGCAACAATGCATAAGATCCTAATAAGATTACTAACATTTAGAAATGGGAAGAAAGGAGCTAAAGGTGTAGGGAAGGTGGGATGGGTAGGGGAAGAGTAAAAAGGGAAAAGAAAAAGATGTGAGAGAATGAAAAGATGAAAATAAAGTGTTTGTAGATGGGGAGGGGAGGAGGGGGTGAAGGGAGGGCAGAGGTAAGGGGAAAAAATGAGAATCAAGACTTGTCATGTAGAGGTACAAGATCCCAACAATGAATGTAACTGTACTGTATCCCTAAAATGTACCAATAAACTCAATTAAAGCTGAAAAAAAATAAGCTAGGCTAGACCCATGGAGGGTGCATTTGTCTAGACCTGGATGGCTATAATTTCCTAGAAACGTGACAGCATAAAAGGCTTTCTCTAGTTCTCCCCAAATCCAGATTATGTGTCTCACCAGTCTGATTTGAAGCAAGGCTAATCTTAAACATAGCATGAGAGTAAAAGTAGTTAGCTTGGGAAAAACAGGCAGCTACACCTTGGGCAGGCATGGCCTGGCAGTGTGGGAGAGACTGGGAGGCTACAAGAGAGGAGCTCAGGCTTCTCCCGAGGGCGCAGGCTTCAGGCCTTTGAACCACTCCCATCCTCAGAGTGGAGGAAAAACACAGAAGGAAGCGTGAGGCTGAAATCATACTTCTCTCATTTCCATTTCTACCTGTGGGATCCTTTGAAATGATCACAATATGTGCACTGGGCTTGTGTTTATCTCTTCTTAAAAGAGAATTCAGTCTTCAACAACCAGCAGTCCTTACAAGGAAAATTCTTCGGGGAAATTTTGGTAGGCAGCCTTCATTTTTAATATTCTAACTACTTTTTCCTCCTAGCTGAGGTGATAGAGAAGGTTTAAAGCAAGAATGGGTTTCCCTTCCTGGCTGTAAGCACTTCAAACTCCCTACCCTCCAGTTTATAGAGGGGAACCCCAATCAGGAGAGAGCCCTGGGTCTCATTCGTGCTAATCAAGTACTCTGCCATGAGCTACATCCCCACCCCCGAGAGGAGAGCCATCAAATGTTGATGTTGCCACTCCTGAGTGTGCTTGGGGTGATCTGGTGAAGAGTACACAGAAAGGGCCTCGAGTGATGCCTGGGGAGTAGAATTTCCTTCAACTGCCTACTGTACATCTCTGCCTTCGAATACTATAGGGCTCCCCAATACTGATGTTATTTACCATAGTGTTACTGCTGGAACCAGAACTTAACCACAGGCATTTAAAACAAAATGGATCTAAAGCAGAGGATGAGGAATTTACAAAACCACTGGAAAGAATGAGTCTCCTAAAATGACTCTGCGAACAACTCTGAACCAGAGGCCAGAGCCACAGCAATTTATGCTGAGGGCTCTCCTGCAGCAGCAGCAGCAGCAAGAGAAGAGACACAAGAAGCAGTGTTGAGAGATCAGAGACCAGACCAAGATGCAGTCACAACCACCAAGGCTTCTGGACCAAGAGATAGCTGGAGTAGACTGGAAGCCCAAGCAGGACACCCGTACTCTTGCTGGCCACCCAACACAGTCAGGACCCAGAAGTCCCTCCACCCCTCCTCTTGACTCTTGTGAGAATGTCTACTGGTAGAATCTAATCTATATTCAGAAATACGGTTTTAAGGGAACATGGGAAATATAGTTTCTTGGTTGCCAACCATATATCAAACCCAGACTCTTATTACTGTGAAAGAAGAGAATAGAATGCTCCTCTCAGTACAAAATGGTAGGAGAAGACATTGGAAGGCAGAGAACAATATCTACAAAGACCCAGGCAAGGAAAGGGGTTTCAACAAGAACGTGAAACAATTGCAGTGATAAGGATAACAAAGCCTCTGTAGGGAAAGCTAGAAACTAGGCACCTGACATTTTCTAACAACTTGAGTAGAGATCATTTCTAGCCCTCCATATTTTCTCCCTTTAAAATAATAACACTTCATATCATGTCTTGGTTGTTCTTCTTCCCTGGGAGTCCCAAAGTCCTATCTGAAGTCCATCTGAAGTCTTTTCACAATTACTCACGTCATCACTGGGTCTGTAAAACACCAGAAGTCCTTTCCTCAAAGACCAGTTCTGCGTAAACAAAGTGAGGCAGAATTATCTACTTAGGGTTAGTTAATGCATGGAGTCACTAGCATTTTCTTGCCATTGGGTTTCCCGAGTTTTTCTTTTCAAATGCATTATTATTACTATTATTATTATTATTATTACTAAGCTAAAGAAGGACTTTCTTATGGTTGAATAGCTGAGTATTTCGTGGAAAGAAAGAATGAAGACAGTGGGTGACAACTACTTGTTTACAGAGAGAGCTTTTATATTCCAAAGCACCCCATCCCCGGTGACTGGTGAAAATAGGGTAGCAGACACAAGCATAGGGGACAGTGTTGTTTTCATTCTTTACTAATGTCCCTAGAAAGCAGTGTGCATTTCTCACATTCACTTTTCCCAAGGCCCTTATTGTCCTAGTTTCCTGGTAGAAGTCAAGCTAGTGAAGGCAGACCCA